CACGGCATTAGTAGGAGTGACATCAGGAATAAATTAAGGTCCATACAACACTGGAGCCATACAGGAAAACCTGTGCAAAATGACATCTCATTTTTGTGTAAGACTTTGGTTTTTTGAAAATACTGTTATATCCTTCATTTCTCTACATCTTCACAATAGCCCCATATGGTAGTCAGGGCAGGAGGAAAAACTAAGGTCCATTACCATGAAATAGTGTGTCTGAGGTCAAACAGCTGGTAAGTGATGTTGCTGAAACCAGAATTCAAAGCTCAGTGTTCAGTCCCAAATTTTTACACTATTTCATCCTGTTTTCCTACACAGTACATTCCCCTTATTTCATTTCTAAGTATAAATATATGACATCTTGTCACTCCCTTTGCCATCAAAAACTGGGCAAAAGATGAAGTACATTTAGTGAACCTAGAACATAGGTTTTTAAGTTTGGTGTCAGCATAAAATTTGCACTTGCCTTCTCTGTTCTTATTTACAAATCCTAAGGAAAGGACTGATCGGGATTTTGAGGGGTCTGATGGAAACGGTTTTCTAAACTTGAAAGGCTTAAATGAAAATAAAGTTTTTGCCTTAATTATATTTTCTCATACAAGTCCAGAAGCATCTGCAGTTTCTTGCTGCCACAAGCAAAAGGTTTGAATTTATGTATACTCCTTTCCTTCTGGCTGTAGAACAGCTTCAATCATATCAGCTGCAGCTACCACTTATTGATCATCTACTATTAATGTGCCAAGAAACTTACAGAATTAGAACCAATTTTTGTAATAGTCCTGAAAGGCAATGTTATTATTCCCATTTCTGGGGTAAAGAAATTGAGGTTCAGAGAAACTAAGTAATTGCTCAATGTCATGCAGCTATTAAATAGCAAAGTTGCAATTCAGATTTAAGTCAGTCAGAGTCCAAATCCTGATGCTTCCCACTTCACCATGTTATTTCTCTCCAAAAAATTAAAAAACAAAAAATAAAAAATAAAAGTTATACAAACGAATCTTCTACCTTTCCTTTGGTGATGTAAGTACTTTAAATATTAATCTCTGAGTCAAACTTGGTGGAGGAGGTGGGGTGGCGGGGTGGGTGGTGGTGGGAAACAAATTCTAACTTTATGAAATACCCATGTTGGTGAGAAGGCCAAACAGAAATGCAGTTGTCAATCACATCGGGGTAGAGTTTTTCACCATCTGATAGTGAGTATTCATTTAGGCCTGCTGGGCTAAATGAAATGTGGTATTATACACTCAAGTACCAAAGTGCCTTCTGTGACATCTTTCAAAGAAATCTTCTTTATTTTAGATGTCACTCATAAGCCAATAAAACATAAATTGCAAACTACCTGTGTATTGGTTTCTGAAAAATTGGTGTTGGGTCCAAGACATCCCAGTTGGAGCCCAGGAACTGCCACTGAAAAACACAGCTGAGAGGATTCACCTGGTGCAAATCTATTAGCACACAACTAACAATAAAATATTTTCTTTTCTGCAGAAAGGTCATTTATTTCATCCTCAGAATATGTTCCTTTGGTGTAATTTGTACAGAAAAGGGTATGCATCACTTTATGTGCAATTTCCTAAGTAATCATCCGTTAGTAAAGAAAAGTTGAAAATCAATTATCTGATATTTTTTCCTCTCTTAGCTACAACTTCCAATTGAAGACAACAGTATTGCTTCCCCCTCCTCCCGCCTTCTTTTTTTTTTTTTTTTTTTTTTTTTTTGAGACGGAGTCTCGCTCTATCGCCCGGACTGGAGTGCAGTGGCGCGATCTTGGCTCACTGTAAGCTCCACCTCCCCGGTTCACGCCATTCTCCTGCCTCACTCAGCCTCTCGAGTAGCTGAGGCTACAGGCTCCCGCCACCATGCCCGGCTAATTTTTTGTATTTTTAGTAGAGACGGGGATTCACCATGTTAGCCAGGATAGTCTCGATCCTGACCTCATAATCCACCCGCCTCGGCCTCCGAAAGTGCTGGGATTACAGGCGTGAACCAGCAAGCCTGGTCTTTTTTTTTTTTTCTTTTCTTTTTTTTTTCCCTGAGACTGAGTCTCGTTCTGTCGCCCAGGCTGGAGTGCAGTGGCACAATCTCGGCTCACTATAACCTCGGCCTCCCAAAGTGCTGAGATTAAAGGCGTGAGCCGCCAGGCCTGGCTGCTTGTCCTTCTCTGAGCAGCTAATGTATAGGAAGTCTATAGGGCAATGGGGAAACTTATTGCCTATTTGCATCCAATCTATTAGGTGGTCTTTTTCTATTAGGTAGGCAGCACATCAGAAACAGTATTTCATTCCACTTGGAACAAATTAAAGTCAACCCAACCTGAAGAGGACCTTGATGCAATGCCCATATCCTTCTCCACTGGTATGGTTACTGTGCCATGGCAGGCAGGCCCCCTTTCAGTTCCAGAAAGCACCCAGGCCATTCAAGATAGAAATCAATGTCATCCGAAGTGGGAAAGAAACTAAAGAACGGTGAAACAAATCCTTCCAAGAAGGAGTATTCACTAGTAAGTCTCAATTACACAGCTACAATACAGACTGTTGTTGAGACCCACTAGAATTCAGTTGAGTGGATGAGCAGGAGCTTTATACACCTGGATGTCATTTATACCTACCACTCATGTTCTAGCCCACTTTTCAGACATCCTCATGATTTTCCCTGTCCATTGCCTTTTTGCTGTTCACATGCAAAGTCCCTGTTGCTTTACAAAGAGTGCAATAAGGATAAATTGAAAGGACTGATAGTCCTCTGCTGCCTTGGTCCAATTAAAGGTCTTTTGGAAATTATGCTGCTAAATTTTAATGGCACCAAACAAAGAGAAATGTTTCTGAAAATGAAATTGTGCTGTTAAACATCTGCATTCCAAATAGCTCCCTAACAAGTAAAAACACAACTGCTTTTGCTTTAAATTAGGTTCTGACTAAAATATGTGCTCTTATGACCTAGGGCCATGTCAACCATTGGGTTTGGTCCACGACTGATTTGGCATTCAATCCATAGTTTCTTTTTTGTTATATTACTGATCTCTGTTGTATGCTTCTACCGGATCAGAAAAGAGCTGGCGCCTTTTCAAAAGGTAATCTAAAGCAATCACTTCTAGTCCCCAATAACTTTTGCAGTTTCCAGGTACATTCAAATTATAGAAAAGTAAAAAGCTGTTTACATCTTTTTCTTAAAGCTAAGCTCCTAAACTGAGAATGAAGAAATCCACAGAAGAACAGTGTTCACAATAAAATAGCTTTGTCTCTGGACACACACACACAAAAATAGCCATAGTGATGATAAAATCTATGTTCAGTTTTACATTTCGGTTCTCTGAAAATCAGTTCTATGACTCCAAAGTGTTCAGATCTCCTTTAATCCTAATATCACTCATACTAGGAATTTATTCTAAGGATATAAGGTCTTAGACAAATTATTTAATGCTTACAAGTGCCTGAGAATATTATTGTCACAAATACAATGACACTTTTTAAAAGAATGGTAGGGTTTGAAGAAATGAAACTATGTTGAATACGTGAGCATGGTGTGTTGGAGGTGGTGGGCCAGAGGGCGAGGTATCTGCTACCAAACTATAGGGCCTGCCTATAGATGGGAGACACACTCCCACATATGCTGTAGACTGGGCACATCCTCATAATATGCAAATATTAAGCAGAATTTATCAGAGCAACAAACTCTAGGACCTTCATTAAATCAATATTCAAAATGAGAATTATTCTCAAAAACCTTCTTTTTAAAGAGTATGCCGGCCGGGCGCGGTGGCTCAAGCCTGTAATCCCAGCACTTTGGGAGGCCGAGACGGGTGAATCACGAGGTCAGCAGATCGAGACCATCCTGGCTAACACAGTGAAACCCCGTCCTCTACAAAGAATACAAAAAACTAGCCCGGCGAGGTGGTGGGCGCCTGTAGTCCCAGCTACTCGGGAGGCTGAGGCCGGAGAATGGGTGGAACCGGGGAGGCGGAGCTTGCAGTGAGCTGAGATCCGGCCACTGCACTCCAGCCTGGGCTACAGAGCGAAACTCCGTCTCAAAAAAAAAAAAAAAAAAAAAAAAGAGTATGCCAATCTTATGTTTCAGTCTCTTGGAATCAAATGCAGTCGGGATAAAGGAAAAGCTATGTCAAAATGCTGAAATATTGAGTTTTATGAAAAGAATGCTCATATTTTTCCAGAAATAAATCCTAGAATTTCTGAGGTCTGGCCTGCATTAGGGACCATACAAGTTTGGAGGTTTTTAGGGGACACTCCTGTGCATTTTGCTAATTCTTTCAAATACTTAATTGCCACCCTTACCCACTAGCAGATATGGAGTGTTTGTTTAACCACTCTCTCTGGTTCAAGTGACATATTACATAGTTTTCCAGGGTCTCCATTAGCCTTTGAAAGGAATGTCACTTTTTGACATTTTCAATCTCCAAAGGTAGCAAACTATGGAAATAGTTGAAACTATCTGTTCATAAAGCTAAGAACTAAATATAGGAAAACAATTTGGGTGCATTCATTTGTTCAACAATATTAATTGCATATCTACTGTAATCCAGTGCTTTGCCTTCAAAAGGCCTCAGTTTACAGGCACTGTATCAGATAGATATTGTCCCTGCCCCTGATGGTGATTTCAGACTAATGGGAATGACCTTGAACAATAATTTCAGAGATAACTCATTTAACTACAACATTGATAGCATGAATAAAGGGAAATTTTAGAGGGCTATGAGGGTATATAAAGAGTTTAGGATGGCTGAAAAGTGACATATTTGACTGAGAAAGTTGATGTCTATGAAAGTAAAATCTGTTTCACTCTAGATCAACTTGGCAAATAAAATCAGAAACATGTTAATTTATTTACAACCTGTAATATATACAGCTCTACAGGAAGAAATGCATTCACAAAATGCATATAGCAAAATTTGCAGCCTCAAACATATATGATCTTAATACTATTTAAAAACATGCCATCCAGAACTAAGTCAAATCCT